CTTCTTTCTAAGGAGCCTTCTGACGGTACCTCTTCCAAGATAGACTTGTTTGTTCTTCTGGAAACCCATTGTCCTTTCAGTGTGTCCTGCCAACACCATAATTCAAGTGCATCAATTTTTCTTCAGTTTTCCAACTTTCTTATGCGTCTGAGGGGATCGAGAACACTGTGTCTTGGACCAGGCACACTTTAGTCCTTAAAGTGACATCCTTGCTCTTCAACATTTTAAAGGTGTCTTATTAACAGATTTGTCCAATGAAATTCAATGTTTAATTTATGACTGCTTTTATTAACATTAATTGTGGATCCAAACACAATGAAATCTTTGACAGCTTCAGTCTTTGCTCTGTGTATCAGGATGTTGTCTGTTGTCTTGAAATTTTTGTTTTTCTTTACTTTGAGTTGCAATCAGTACTCAAGACTGCAATCTTTGTTTTTCCTCAGTCATGAAAATCAAAATAAGCTAAGTGAAAAATAGTAGGAAGCTGGCTTCTTCGGGTCATCAGCCATTATGAGACACTGGAGCTTACCATCTCGTTTGTCAGTTTCAAAGCCATGAGTATTTTCATTTAGACTTTATTAGCTCTAAGGGAATTGATATGAATAAAATATAATTTTAATTTAATAGCAATAACCATATCTACTGGTAGAGCATATTTTATGTCATTGATAATCCATTTCTTTTTCAATTTTTAAAATTCTGCAATTATAGTAAGCCATACCTCACTGGAACCTGTATTCGCCCCTTCTCGTGCCAAATTATCTCTGTCCACAAACAAAGAAGAGAAAACAAATCACATATGTTCATATGACCATCTCTATCAATAACACCATTAGTGCCATCACAGTAAATAGCCATTTATGAAATGAAGCCAAACTCACCAGTCAGTGCTTGTTGGACAATTGAAGTTGTGGGTTAAATAGCATGTCCTGTTGGCTATGGAGGTTGGGACGTGTTCACTTTATCTTGCTTACTGGTGACAGTATAAAGATTTTATTCCTTAAGTACTGTGTTGGTTAGAACTCCACAAAGCAACCTCAGCTTGTTGCAAATTGTGAATCTCATCGTGTTAAATAGCCAAAAATGCCACCATTGCAATTTTTACTTCAGTTAAACTGATCGCATTTTGCTAGCAAGCAGGAAATTTACATGGCTCAGATTATTAATAAATGGAGTAGGATCTGAGCACCAGCATATGAAGCGCAGTAAGGAACCAGCAATCACAATATCATACTCAGGGGAGAGACCATGTAATACGATATTGCCTGGCTTTGAAATGAGCATACTTAATGGATTAAGGATGGTTCTAATAATTTTGAGGACAGTCCCCCAAAGGTAATTTATAATCTGGATTTAGCATAACAATATTCATTTAAAAAACATGTCCATGTTCCAAGTCCATGCCCCTCCTGTGATTCTAATAATTTTCATTCATTTTTAAAATTTTGTACTTTTAACAAATAAGAAAGAAACATTTTAAAAACCAAAGAGAAAAACAAACAACAGTTCCTTACTTCCTGTGTAACACCAGCATTTGAGTAAAAGGAATATACTTTATTCCCCATTACTAGAAATTTCAGAATGTAGAGCAGATGTGTTACTACTGATTTTTACATAGCGGAATAAACCACACACTAAGAATTTCATCCATTTTATGGCCTTGACCTCCTATGAATTTAAAATCATGTAATACAGTGGCATGTTGACTTCAGAACAATTAAAGCAAAAATAATTCTTAAAATCAGACTTTATAATTATTTTTTCCATGTTTATTTTCTCCTACTAACTTTGTCATAGTAGATTTTGTTTTTATTTTAAAAAGGAAGTCGCTTGGACCTCCGATAAATACTTGTATATATATCTTTTATTTTCTCTTCACTCATACATTGGACCTGTGAGAATTATTGCATATGGAAATGAGTGACAGATGGAGTAGGTTTGTAAAGTGACTTTTATCATAAGAAAGCCAGACAAACTTTTGAAAGCCATTTCAGATTGTTTTGGACTATGACATGGCTTTATTTAGCTTTGATTTTAAATAAGATCTGAAAAGAGCTAGGTACCGTCATCATTGTATCACTGATCTAGTTTACTGGGTAATTATATTAAATTATTAGTGAAAGAAACTTTTGTAGGCAGGCGAGTCAGATGGGAAATTTAGAGGTAGTGAAGTTTAATTTATATATGGGAGTATCTATTTGCAAATCTATAAAGTAGCCTTAACAAATAAGACACCCATAGAATTGTTGTGAATTTAAGCTAAGGAGTTTTAAGGAGTTTTGGGAATGTAAAATGTCATGCATCGGTTGCTCCTCTGACCAACTTCTGACCCATTCTTCTTGTAGTGACAACATTATTCTGTGATACAATATGATCTCTGCGGAAGAATGTACTACATATTCTGATAGGTGGGATATATTTTATAAATTGCCACAAAATATCACAGTTGGATTTGCATTTCCAGTGATCCCCTTCATTAATCACTGAGTAACCTTCAGGTCCTCAAATAAAGAGTAGAGGGAGTAGCGATGATTTGGTAATCACCCAAGGACAGGCAATTCTTTAAATTCACCACGAACACATGATATCAGAGGTGAATCACCATATCTACATTTCTCATCTTAAGAGATATTTAGATTGTTTGTAGAGCAACCATTGTTGCTATACATAGAATAATCATATTAATTCTATGATAGAATTAATCATAGGTTTTCTATCCTTCAATCCCAGATTCCGCAACTGAGTGTGGAGGAATTCATTGGCTTTCCAGGATCCATCCTGTAGGATGCACATTTTCATTGTAAAGCAGACAATCACATTAGTATGTATGCAATGTACAAACTTAGTTTATTGGAGCAGCTAGGATAGTGACCTTTTAAAGGGCGCAGACTAGGTTCTATGGAGGAGCCCTGGTGTCATCGTGGTTGTATGTTGAACCGCTACTCACAAGGTCAGAAGTTTGAAACCACCAGCCAAGCTATTGGAGAAAGATGAAGCTTTCTACTTCCATAAAGAGTTAACAGTCTTGGAAACCACAGGGGCAGTCCTACACTGACCTGTAGGATCACTGTGAGGCAGAATTGACTCAGTGGCAGTGAGAGTTTTTGTTTTTAATTCTATAGGTGTCTGAATTTGTTGTAGTTTAGTTCTTAAAAAAGATTGACCTATGACATATATTCCCAATTGTTACTTAGTCGCCGTTTACTTGATTGTTTCCGTAAATTATTTCTTCTTCCGTCAACATAATTCCTTGCAGTGCTGTTGTTAGGTGCCAGTAGATCGGTTCCAACTCATAGCGCCCCTTGTGTACAACAGAAGGAAATGCTGCCGCTCCTGCAGCATCCTCCATCCTTGGGACGTTTGAGCCCATTGTTGCAGGCACTCTGCCAATCCGCCTTGTGTATGGGCCTACCTCCGTTTAACTGCCTCTCCCCTTTACCCAGTGGGATGGCCTTTTCCAGCAACTGGTCTCTCCGGGCAAAAATGTCCATACGCTAGCTCCGACAATAAATGTGGACCAATGCTTGAGAAGTTTAGTAAGTGCTCAAGATACACAAATGCAGATATTTCAAATGTCATTTTAGAATACTTCCAAGGGTTGGAACATGTTCACTGGAAAACTGACACAAAAATTGGGTTCCCCTTGATCTCTGAACTTTGAGATAAGTGGCACAGGGAAATACTATGGACAAGATGCATCTACCTAGGAACTACAATAGCAGTTTAACATGGCTACAAACTCGAAGTGCTCTCTTCCCAAAGACTTTAGGGTATGCAAATAATTTTAAAATTTTCTTCCTGTTTGTTCTGTATTAAAAAATAATATATTCTTATTAACCTATGGGCTCATACAGATAACGGTGAAAATACAAGTAACTGATAAATCCACTATTTAATGGAAAATATACTGGTCTGATTCAAAATTGATTATACTAGTCCTTTGCTCCTATGTTTCTTATATCTTAATCTTGAAGCTTGATTCAGAAAAGCAAATGGAAACTATTGTTTCATAATGGATAAACACTGCTACTAGTGAAAAATCAATCATTTTTTTAAAAAAAGACTCACTAATGCAAATGGTTAACACATCTGACTCATAACTAAAAAGTAGAGAATAGAGTCCACTGAGAATTGCCTCAGAAAAGTGGCCTGGTGCTCTCTTTCCAAGAATAAACCAATGTCCCATTGAAACTCCCGTAGCGTGGAGTCTGAGTCTGCTCCCACACGCAGGGTGATCATGAGTCAAGCTGATTCGATGGCAATTGGTTTGTCTTTTTTGCAGGAGAGGTGTTAATTTGCTCGGATCATACTAGTAAAATGAGCAAGTGCTTTAAGTTGTATAACTTTCAGACAATTTCCGTTTCTGTCGGGGGTGGTAGACAGTACAGGCAGCAAAGAAATGATGTCTGTGGAATTCCACCTGTCTTGCAGTTATGGGAAGCGTCCCTACTCCACTGGATGGAATATACTGGTAGCTAAGAACCAAGGGACTAGTTTTCAATCTGGTGCCTGTCCTAGGTGAGATGGAAAATTAAGTCTACGATTGAGAGAGTAGTCTGACAAGTTGTTCTTCACAATGTGTGTAAGATCTCTGGCACAACATGCCTTTGGCCCCTCTCCCCTCCTGCAGCAGGGGCTAAGGAGGTTAAGAATGCCTCTCCTAATGGCTGCTTGTGACTACCATATATACTGGAGTATTAGCCAATCTGGATATCAGCCAAGGCATCTAATTTTACCACAAAAACTGCATTAAAAATGTGCTGAAAAACTTGGCGTATACACAGGTATATACGGGGCAGTTCATTTTGCCTGCATCTTCAACTGGGGATACAGTTGCCTGCCCAGGCTTTGATGCTACTCCTCCCAGTAGGTGAGCCTTGTCACTTTGGGGGGGGGGGGGCACATTTTCTCTCCATAGTTGTTCAGTATAGTGCCCGCAGCTGGACATCCACAATACAGCACCCTAATGTCAGCTCTCGTCTCCTTTTGTTTTCTTGCAGCTGGCGCTACATACATCTTTGGAAAAAGTGGGGGCCTCATCCTCTACACCTGGCCGGCCAATGACAGGCCCAGCACACGCTCAGACCGCCTGGCCGTGGGCTTCAGCACCACCGTGAAGGACGGCATCTTGGTGCGCATCGACAGTGCCCCGGGCCTCGGAGACTTCCTCCAGCTTCACATAGTGAGTGCCAGGCCTGGGCCTGCATGCTCTTGCCTTCCGGATGGCCTGCGTTGGCGAACCAGATGAACAGGGCAGAACATTCTAGATAGGCACAGCAAAGGTGTATACGCCTATAAAAATCACCTAACTGGGCTGGTGCCTCATTCCAGGGTTCATCTCTGACTTAATGTTGAGTATCCCTTCAGATCCAGGCCTTGCGGACCCAAGCGTAGCTCAGGAAGGAGAAATGACCATCTCTTGTCCTACGCATGTAACGAGAGACAGAGAGGCTTTCTTTCTAAACTCCTTTCCAAACTGGGAAGCTTACCCTTTGGCAAAACATTTCGCTGACTCTCTTGGTGTAAACAAGGGACTTACCTGGCGTGGTTGGTTCATCTTAACCTGATGCAAGCAGTAAAGTCAACTGGAATGTTAATGAATTCTTAAGTTGGAGTGTGCAAATTGTTTCTATAAAGGGCCAGATAGCAAATACTTGGGGCTTTGTGGGTCAAATGCCTTTGTTTCAACTATGGATATCGACTCTTACAAGATGAAATCAGTCATAATTAATATATTTTTAAAAAATTAAAAGGTGTGATTGTATGCTAATATAGTTCTTTTTATTTATCAAAGTAGGCCACAGGCTGCACTTTGCTCAGCTCTGCCCTAGGGTACAAACTTCAGGGCACAGATGTAAAAATCACGTAGTGAGAACTGAGATTTGGGTGGGCAGGACAAGGCATGCAAATGGACCACCATGACTGGGAGCGCTGGGAGCCCCATGTGCTGGGTAGCTACAGTTTGCTTTAGGTATTGTTCATTCAAGCCCAATAGGGTTTTGTCCACATTGACTACAGATCATAAGACCACAGCGCCATTCTAGGAAATTAAAATGATTTGGAGGGGAAAAAATTACTTCATTATGAGGATGGAAAATATTTTTATAGGAACAATTAACCCATTTTATCACCTGTGCCTTCTGCAAGGAGGGAAGTAGGCTCAAGAAAGCTATGATTCTCATCCACAAGTACCCGAAGTGTGGCGACCAGGAGCAGAGAGAGGAATTGTTCTCATTAGTTAGCAATGACAAGGCGAGAAAGAATGGATTTAATTTGGAGCAATAAGAACTCTGTTTAAATAGCAGGAGGGGAAAGCAGTTAAAAAGAAAGATCAGCTGGGGATTACCACCAACCTCCATAAAAGGAAGAAAGGAAACATTTAGAGGGAATCTTTGGATCTGAATTTGCTAATGTGCAGGCAGGTCTACCAAGGGATGCCTATGGTAAGATTACATTTCTGGCCTCCAGAGCTGGAGGGGGCTGGCTGGAACCACAAGCAGCCAATTAAGAAGCCCCCACCCTATCTCCCCAGCAGCTCTGTCTCCAGCACCTGCTCTTCCAGCAGGTCTGGGAAATGGAGCAGCTTGCTTGAAGCATGAGGCTTGAGTTGAAGCCTGTCCAACCACAGTGTAAGCCAAAGTAGGCAAGATTCCACGGAGAAGACCATGGAAGGATGCTTCACAATGTCAGGGGCAGGGGCGGGGGCCCGGGAGTCATGGTCAGAAATGGAGTTGTGACACTTTCTCAAGTGTTTCAGGATCCACAGGGAACTGAGAATCTAAACTTCATCATTATAAAGTCCATGCTAAGGGGCAAAAAAGAAAGGCAGCCAGACATTGTCTGGTTTATTTTTATTTGGCCCCTAAGAACCACCATAATTTACAAAACTCTGAGATTTATACTGCATATAACTTAATGACTATTTCATGGCAGCTATAACTAGGCTATTATTACCAGCTCACTTACATTTTCATGGTGATTTATCTTCTTTTTTTTTTTCCTGGTTCAGCGTGACTTGCTAGGAAAAATATGATTTGAAGCAGCCATGAGCATCTTTTTGAGTCAGATAATGTGCTTCGCTTTTCTCCCATTTTTTTCCTACCAGTGATTGCAGATCTCCTCCACTCTCAAGAGAGAACATTTCTTATTCTCCCAGAGGTTGTATGAAATTGGCAGTCTCTTTGCACAATTGATAGGCGACTACTTGGCACTTCTAGGAAGAACCAGCCCATTCCAGGATATTGTTTTGCACCACTAGAACGTTCTGAAGTTCTTTGTTTTGCTATCTTTGAAAAGCACATGTGTCAAAACATAGATATTTTTAAAGTTTTGAACATCAATGAGGGAGCTTCTGAAAGTGTGTGGAGACATGAATGAGAAGATAATGGTCCTTTTCCGTGGACATTTTGAAGCCCCCTTGTATGCATTTGTTTAATTCCTTAGGATGTGCCTTCCACATGAATATGCATATTAAGATGGAAAAGAGTAGAATGCTACTTTCTTTTTAAAAGCAAAAATGCCGGAACTTTTACATCAGCATTTCAGGGCCCCCTTGGGGTCCTAGGTACCGATTCTGGCCATGCAGCCCTTGTTCATACATGGTCCTTCAGAGCCGGAGGTAGGACAGGACACGATCTGATCTTCTTGGGGCCAAGGATCATTCTGGCATGATCCCAGCATACTCACGACCCTGGGTGCATGGGACTGCTTTGTTTTTCTAGGAATTTGAAACCATTTTTTCCTTCCTCATGGACTATCGTTGGTGGCTGTCATGAGAAGGGGATTCAAAGCAAGCCGATGCCTTCCCGTCCTTGGACGTGAAGGCATCTGAGTAGGAAGGCTCAAAGACTCCTTGCCCAAACCAGCCTTTTGTGTATTTGTTTTTATTGACACTTGCCTAGATAACCTCAGGGAAACAAAGCCATAAACACCACGTGTTAAGCTTCTGTACTTTTATAGAACATTTGCAATCTGTAAAACAGGGTTTTGGTTCTTGAATACAGATTGATTCCTCGCACAAAAGAGCAGACTTGAGGGGCTATTAATGGAAGTGGAAAGGAATGAATGGGAGGCATAAGATGTCCTTCCACCTTGCAGTTCACCTAGAAGCTAAACGCTGTGAGGGGGGCGGGTGATGGCCCACATCAAGAGGGGATGGAAGCAGACTCAATCCCAAGGGCCAGGGAAGAAAGGGAAAGGGCTGAAGTCTACCTGCAGCCGAGCTCCACCCGGGGATGGCATGTCCCCACAGTGTCCTTCTGTCACACGGGTTTCACTTTTGGAAACAGCAGAGAAGGAGTTGGGTGTTACCTCTGATTGGTAGTTGAGTGAGTGAAGTTGGTGAAAAACAAAATATAAACTCTAAAACTATCATGCGTGTGTGTGTGTGTGTGTGTGTGTGTGTGTGTGTGTGTACACGCACGCACATGTGCTAAAGGCAATTCTTAGGGATTCCTCAAATGATTTGAGCAGCTTCGTTTGCCCTCCAGTGCTCTTCCCTTTCAGGAAGGCTGGGCGTCTGACCCAGAAGTAAACAAATACAACCTGTAGAAGAGACTTGCTGCTAAGGATCCCGCAGAGCAGGAATGGGGTATCATACCATGCCTGCCAGCTCTCACTGCCTGGTCCCATCTGCTAGAAGCTCTATGAGGGGTCACCTGTGAGGATGACGGCTAGGCAGTCTGATTTCCACTAGTCGTATCTTCCAGCCATGTAGACATGGTCTGCACTCTCGTCATTCCTACTCTTGTCTAGCGACCTTCCTCCTTCTCTTACTTAGCCTTTCACCACTGGGAGGCACTAACAGGTGTGGTGGGGAAGGCTTCAATGAGCTGAACGCACTGTGCCCTAGCGTGAAGGACTGGCACAAAGAAAGGGTGCCAAAACAGCTGGAGCAGTGCCATCGACAGGGTGTCGCCCACCTCACCGGTCACGTAGGTCAGCTTTGCTTCTGGGCCAGAGGGTGGAGGGTTGTCTTTCTGTTGCTGACCCCTTCCCACCCATCCTGAACTCCTCAAGGAGACGGATTGTCACAGTGGCTGAGACAAAGGGCTCGGATGTAGGAGCCACTTTGAGACTGGCACAGAACTGGCCTTGTTCCTTTGATGTGTTTGCTGCTGTTCATGGGGCCACTTTAAACCAGAACTGACTTGACGCCCCCGTACAATAGCAATGATAACAGTACAACAAACAAGACAAAATTTCAGTTTTGAAAAAGAAATAACAAAAGGCTAAGAGATGAGAATAATTAAGGAGTTGCATGTCTAAAATTAGCTAAGATTTCTTTCGTAGGGTTTTTTTTTCTGTTCACATTTCCATGATTCAATTTTTTTCTGCATAATTATTTATCATGATATTAATGAAATCATGGGTGAAATGCGATGGAGAAATGCAAAAAAGATCTTTGTTGAAGTATGTGTGCATGAAATGAGATCTCTGTGAAGAGAGGGTGTCTGAGAGCTGAGGGAGTTTTCAAATTATTATGATTTTAAATACAGCCTTCCCTCCATTGACATCCATTGTTGAGAAGACAATCTGCTCAAAAGTCAGAGAGCAACGGCCGTTCCTTGTGACTGACATCTGCCTATTGACCCCACAGCCAGGTTCTCTGGAGCTGTGCCATGCTACATTCACCTGCGTTTATACAATAGGGACGAACTTGAATGAGACCAGAGATGAGGTCGCCATGAAGTGCCTGCTATCGCTATGACGAAACTTTCAGCCACCTCCTTTCCCCATCTACTACAGAGAAGGTCAGGGAGAACTGAAAAACAATTAGCTTCTCTTCGTGCAGTTAACACTTAGTTTAAAAAGACATCCTATTAATTTCTTTCTCCCTGTGTGTAATCTACAGCAAATCCTCTTCGATTCTTTGTTTAAATTATGAGCCTTTCAGGAGCCATGGCATTTTGTGTGTCGGGGATCTGGCTTGTTTGACAAGAATCTTTAACTTTCCCCAAACGTTTCCCTCCTGACTTCTCTTGCATGTACTTATATCAAACAAAGCAGGCAAAGGCAAAGGGCTGCTGTCCAAACTGACCCCCTGACATAAATGGCACTGTGTTCTCCTTTGGAACTCTGAACACCCCCCACCTCCCCAAAAGTCAGGAATGCTCTCTCAGTGTCATGTTTAGGGAAACTGGTTCTTTATGAAGTTTAGTTTGTATACTATTGTTTTTATAT